CCTATCTTCGTCACCTCCTCCAGCCCCTACAGCGCTCTCTAAGAGGTCCCTCTTCAATTGATCCTCTGATCTCCTCTTCCCAATATCTTGTTATCTAGCTCACAGTCATAGACTCAGAGTTACATAGCAGATAAACAGACCCTTCAGCCCAACTGGTCCATGCTGTCCAGGTTTCCTAAACTAAACTAGTCCCACTTGCCTGTGTTTGGCCCATATCTCTCTAATCCCTTCCTATCCATGCACCCATCCTGATGTCTTTTAAATGTTATAACTGTACCAGCCTCCACCACTTCCTGTGGCAGCTCATTCCATACACGCACCACCCTCTGCGTGAAAATGTTACCCCCTCAGGTCCCTTTTAAATCTTTCCCCTCTCACTTTAAACCTATGCCCCTCTAGTTTTGGACTCCCCCCACCCTGGGGAAAAAGATCTTGGCTATTCACCCTATCCATGCCCCTCATGATTTTATAAACCTCAATAAGGTCACTCCCCTCAGCCTCTGACGCTTCAGTGAAAGAAGTCCCAGCCTCTCCTTATAACTCAAACTCCCCCGCAGTCCCAGTAACATTCTCGTACATCTTTTCTGGACCCTCTCCAATTTAATAATATCTTTTCTACAGCAGGATGACCAGAACTGCACACAGTACACCAGAAGAGGCCTCACTAATGTCCTGTATAAACACAACATGGCCCTCCCAACTCCTATACTCAATGCTCCGACCGATGAAGGCAAGCATACCAAACACCTTCTTTACCGCCCTGTCTACCTGCCACTCCACTTTCAAGGAATTATGCACCTGCACCCCCCAAGCTCTCTTTGTTCTGCAACACTCCCCAAGGTCAGATCTTCTGTGACTTACACTTTCGTGAAGTTTTCCTGGGGAACGTCTTACTATGTGGAATGTGCCGATAATCCTATTCACTGTTACTGCGAACTGGATCTTGTTACGTTTACATAAGCAGGTCAGAGTTAATTATTGTCTTTAGGTCGTTGGACATTGAGCAGATTATTCTCTGTCACAACCTATGATGCCCTTGACTGCACACAGCCACTCTGAGGGCACACTGCAAGTTCTCCCTTGGTCCAGGGAGTTTTGTTTGTGTATTTTTTAAAATAAAAACTGTTTTGAGAGACTTTGAAAGGGAGCAGAGAGGTGGGAAAGTTTAGGGTGTGTCTAATTATTGAAGGAAGTTATGCAGATATCCAGGCCTAGTTCCCTGAGGACAATTGGGAATGGGTGCTGCAGGCAGTCTCAATTCAGCATCTTCAGCTCTCAGGGACTGAAGGAGGCAGAGGGTCGATGGAGAACGGGTGGCCCTTCAAAGGACGGGGGAAAAATAAATCTGCACTCTTCGGTGAAATGGATCGAGGGGACTGCGTCTGTACCCAACCTGCCCTCTCCCTCCTCTGACAGAGTCCTGGACAGGGTGTGTAAGCGAAGGCTGTGGGGGTGGGGTACGCATGTTCTAGAGTGTGAGACTGGCAGTACATCTAGCACCTGCAGTATGGACATGGTGTAGGGACACTGGCTAGTTGGGCCAGGGGGTGGGGGGGCGGGCGGGCGGAGGACATAATGAGGCTTATTGCATCCACCAGCTGAACACTCAAATCACACGGGCACACAAACCTTAAAGAAGCAGGAGTAGGCCATTCGGCCCCTCGAACCTGCTCCAATGTTCAACAGGATCACAGCTGATCATCCAACTCAATTCACTTTCCCCCCCAACCAACACACCCTCGGATCCCTTTCACCCCCTCAGAACTACATCGAACACCTTCGCGAAAACATTCAATGTTTCGGTCCTGATCATTTCCTATGACAGAGCATCCCACAGGCTTCCCAACTCCCCCCGCCGTGCCCCCCCCACCCCCCCAACTCTCTGGGTGAAAACGGTTCCCTTCAAGTCAGCCCTTGCCCCGTCTCCTTTACACTGTGACGCCCCCA